CCCGACGATCCCTGTTAGGGCTGTGATCCCTACTGTGCAAAGCGCTGCCCAAGAAGACATAAAGTCAGCGAGATACAGAAGCCCTAGCTGGAGGATTACAGGTGATTTGTGGACAAAACAAAGCAATGAACTTAAGATACAGTGGCAGCAAACACAGAAAAGAAAAGTAAAGTAGAACTCCAGCAGTGAAATCCCGGGTCTTGTCAAGTCAGTGGAGATTCTGCCCTGGAATGAAGCTAAAATTTACCCTTTCCTGTTTTTTTTTTTTTTTTTTTTTTTTTTTTTTTTTTTTTCTTTTTTCCCCCCACAGTGCTGAGGCCTGCCCAGGGGGGCAAAGGTTGTTGTCCAATCCCTCCACACTTGTGCTTGATGCAAGGGACAAACATTTGGGCATCATCTGGGGACTTTTTGAGCAAGGATGGGTTTGGGAGCAGCAAAGGTGGAAGGGGAGAGGACAAGGAGGTGGAGAAGTCATTGGGAAGGGCAGGCAGATGAAGGGCAGCAGCAGAGGTTAAGCAGTGGCAGAGTCAAAGGCTGGAAGAAATTGGAGTTCTGTGCTTGGCAGAAAGCCGGGCGGCCACTGAGGAGCACCCAAGAAATGGCCTTGATGTTCAGAGCTGTTTCCAAGCTCAAGTTCACAACTTCAGGCTGAAGCTGCTCATCTGACATGAATATTACTAGGAAGGCCAACTCATGATGCCAAAACCTCTTGTGTTCCCACCCAAAGGATAACTCACTCAATGTCCTGCCAGGCAAATGGAGATATTTTAATGTTTGTGGCTAGAAAACTTCTGCCATTGACTTTGAGAAGAATGGCACCATCCTACCAAAAACCATGTCACAGGGACTCCTGCTCCTGCAGCTACAGGCAGCAGTTCCTGCCTGTAGGGTCTAAAATGAAGAGAACGTTTCAAGACATCAGCTTCACAATCTCTTGTGAACTGATCTTTCATTTTCCAGCAATGGTATTCTGCTACATATTCATATAGGTCCATAGAAGGTTATTCTGGTTGTGCCTATATTGGGCGATGAAAGATCTAGAAAGTTCACAAGAGATTATGGACTTTTCAAACTGACAACCTAATAATTTTCAAAAGGCTCCTCACTGTGGCTACAAATGTACCTTAAACAACACCGTAAATTGCATTTCTTAAATGCAAGTAGGTGTGTGCTTCTCTGTCAGCACGTTATGCAGGAGAGTAAAAACTAATCAGCACTTAGGAAAACTGTTGTCTCACTGACGTTTGCACAATTTCTCCATAAGCTGCCAATGAACATCCATCCCGCTGGCGGTACGCTGTCTCCTTAAGTTTACATAAGCTGCTGTCTGGGAAGATTCATTTAAACCACAGCCATGTGTACTTACAATAACCTAGATGGCTCTCTGAGTTGTTATTTGCTTGTTTTCTCTCTCTAGGAAGAAAAGGGAGGGTTAACAACCTCTCTGCAAGATCTCTGCTAGCACAGGTGAGCGCAGAGCACTTTGGGACTCAGCCCTCAACTTCCAGGACTCAAATCAAAACACAGCTGATGTGTAGGAGAAAAAGCAAGCTGCTAAGTGACCCCGAGAGTCTCCTCCAGATCTCTCTGGAGAAAACAAAGAGGCTGCCTGAGACTTGCAGCATCCTTCACACCTTCCCTGCAGCCACCACAGCTGCCCATCACCCCGCATTTGCCTCTGAGAGGGAATGGAGGAAACCGAAGAGATCAGATTCAAGGCCAACAGGGAGAGAAGTGGAAAATGAGATGGGAAAGAGACAGAGGGATCTCAGTAAAAGCCACCAGACCTCCCCTTTCTCCTGCCTACTGCTCCACAAGAAGCAAAATCCTGAACACCGGGCAGCAATCTATGTATCAGACATCTTTGAATCAGATCTTAATTCACATTAGAGAGATCGTGCTGATCTTTTCCATAGGGGTTTTCAGGTGGAACCACAGCCTCAGCCAAAGTTGGGGATACGTCCCAGGCAAGCCAAGGGGATGAGGCAGGCTCCACACAGGCAGCTGGGGCCCAGAACCCACAAAGATCTTCTGGGACCCATAACAGAGCCATGAAGATGTTACACAGGGTTACTAAACCATCTGTCAGGGATACAAGGTTTTACAAAAGGGTACAAGAAAAGCTACTAATGGGTTTAGATTTGCAATTGAACTTCAGTTCAGCATTTCATTTGTATGTGTTAATGATTTAGGGGCACAAACATCAACATTTGGACAGCTGGCTAAGCTGGATGGCTTGTTGTCTTGTTTGTATTTTTCACTTACTATTGTTATGAGACAAAAAAATCAGAGGTACAAGATCAGTTCACTAGAAGAAAGCCAAACATTCAAGAAATGGGTCTTCATAACTCCTCCTTTACCCTGAGATAGTCACAGTTATTGTCAGCGGTAAGGGAAAAAAAAAGAAAGATTAAATCTCATTTGGATTTCTCACCCCAAATGTAAACAGAAACCCAGAAACACGACAGGAGAATTCTCCCAAATGGAAACCTCTCACAGAATTTGATGTCCCACAGAAAAAAATAATCCTAATTTGTGAAAGATCAGGCAGTCGAAATTTCTACAAGATGAGTCAGTCCTGGTAATATTACTAAAGCAAGTACGGATGTTTGTATGCACACACACACAGACACACATCTGCAAAAGATTTTTAAATGGAGCTCATTTCACTTGTAACTAAGCGGTGCCAAGCACTTCGATGAATGATGAGTTGGAACTTACATCTTAGCAAAAGCAAATCAAGATGGTAAAAGTGTTACAAGTCTACACGAAACAGTGCCTCTGTTTCCCCTGAAAGCAGCCTGGTTTTGAATGAGAGCAGCTGGAGAAAGCCTCTCCCCTCTGACTTCAGTGTGTGCAGAATGGACTTGAGAAAGTTTGCAGACCTTTTAAATTCAACAGGAGAAGGGAAGAGCAGAGCTCAGAGCCCATAAAACCTAAACGGCTCAGAATTTCATCTGTGGAGATAGCAGGTAAAATCTCTGTTCTGTTGAGATAAACAGCAAAATGCTTGGCCACTTCAATGAAGTCAAGATTTCACTTCATAGCAGCAGTTTCCTGAATGTTAAAGTTCTGTCTTTCCTACTATATTTTAAAGTGATAGTTCATAGACATTCCTTTTTTCCCTCCAAAACATCCCTGAAGTGCACTGCAATCTTCCATTGCCTGAATCTCCTCCACTACTCAGAGGAAAAATAGAATTTCATTATTTATTCTAGGTAAACACAGAGATTTCAAAAAAATCGGTTTCTGCCCTACTCCACATGGTATCGAGCTCTCAGCAAAACACAGGTCCAGGTCAAAAGCTTGACTGTCAACTAAATTAAGTCCGAAGGATCTCACATTAGTCCTGGACCGAAGGTCACTGTGTGCGAGAGTGGCGTGCCACCATCTACTTTGTGTTTCTCAGAGGATACTGGAATTTCGCTTTCCACAGAACACCCCACAGCTTTTGTACACATTGCACAACGAACCAGACTTCTCTAACTCTCTCCAATAACCTTTCTCCCCTAAATTCTGTTTCTCTATCCTTTAATCCGTTATCAGGGTGCAATTATTTCCTTTGGGAAAAGTGATTAGTACTTTTGTACTTCATTCACACGCAGAAGATACTTTAATGTGAAGATCCATGTCATTATTCTCCCACTGAAATCTCTCCAAAAAGTGTCCTTGTAACTCTCACGTAAGAACCTGACCATATGTCAGAATTACTCCTAGGTGGGACACTTCACCACCTGACAACACAGCAGTCAAAATGGGATCACTGAAGCACAATTATGGGGTGAAGCAGTGCTAGGCTGTCCTAGGGAAGATGAAACTGTTGTTTAAGCAGTTCACAAGATCAGTATCTTCACATTCCTCAGCAAAGCAGAGAAGAGGTTGATCAGGAAGGCCCTCAAGGAGACGTTCCTCATGTCTATGTTTTGCCTTGTGTCTATGACATTAAACTCTCTTGTCCATACTGAGTGATTGCAGTTACAGATGGATGGAAAAAGATGAACTTAAACCATGTATAGTAGAAGAAAGGAACTAAATACTACCTTCACTGAAAACAGCAACATCCGAGAAAAGGGAAATTGTGATGTATGTTACAGAGAGCTTGTGAAGTACACAGACCTATACGGAACTATGTTCATTGTCAGAAAAGAAAATGAATTGGCAAGTGTATAATGAGATTGGGCATACAGCCATGAAGAGTTATAGGCTGTCGTTAATTATGGAGGTACAAATCTTCAAGCCACATGACCTGGGAGAACAAACTCGTGTATAACTATTGCCTTTACAGACTCTGTTCTTCATTGTGAAATGCTATTTTCCTTAGCAGAATTCAAAACATGCAATCAAAGTTATTAGCATGAGAGATGCAGGTTGTGTAAAGGGTAATGTTTTTTTTTTAAATCTGGTCTTATTTTTAAGATATATTCCAGAAGGATTTCTTTACAACATTCCTAACAGGAACTCAACCCTTACAATTAAACCCTGTACTTCTCATTACTTGAGATGTTAATCTGCCTAGAAATGAATCTTCTGCCATTCTAGATAGCCTTATCACAGTTGAAACAAAAATATTAAATATAGCTTGCAATCTACTTACTTGCATTCTCACACAGTTATAACAACTCTTGGTACCACGCCATCAGTTTTTGCTATCCACATTGGAAAAGGGCGTTCTTAAACAGCACTCAGTATTGGTTTGCCACCATTTTTACAGACACCATTGGTAGTCCAACCTGGTACATGCTATGAACAAAGGAGATTGTCCAGGGCAGCAGATTCAGAGGGCTGACATTTCACAGGGGGGCTTTTGACTGACCATTGGCCCCCACTGAGGGCACGTCAGGGGAAGGCGGTAGCTTTTACATCAGCCAGACCTGCACCACAGCTAAAAAGAACTTCAGCTTTAGCATCAGTTAATAGCAGTTAGCAAATACCGAGCGCCCCAACAGAAATGCAATTCCTATAGCATCCTAATACCAAATACTGAAGAAAGGGTTTCGTACCTTAAATTCCTCCAAGATCTTGTAATTTTTCCCATGATATTCACAAAAGTTTTTCACTTCTTTGCATTCTGGACAGCATCCATTGTGTTCCACTTTTGTACACTTTGGGTGGATTTTAGGGCATTCTGGTTGATCGCAAACAGGTCCATCCTCAGTACAGACACAGGGACAGTTGGAATGTCCCGGGAAAAAACGTTCTCCCAGTTTGTACACAAAGCCACTGTCATCCACACAGCCCTTCCCTCGGTAGTCATCAAAGATCAGATTGTCATTACTGGAGGTCTGGTCCCCTTCATCAGCGGGGTAGTCTTCATGATTGATGGCAGCTGGAGTGACCAAAGCAGGGATTATGAACAGAAGTATCCAGGCTTCGTGGATACGAAGAGCCATCCCCCTCCTCAGCTTCTCCATGGGATCTCAATGCTGGATGGAAACAGCTGCTTCCATACGGAGACCAGTGTTGTGGTCTGAAAATAAGTATTTTTATGTGAGAACAAACTCAAAATTCTAAGGAATATTAACCCATAAAGGACCCAGTCTCAAACAGCACCCAAGAATAAACCAGTGCTTTTCAAACTCCACAGATAACTATCACCGTTTCACCTGAATTAAGCCTCTTCTCACTTATTGTTAAAGAGAATAAAGTATATGAAATATGTAAATTAGACACATGTGCCTGTAAGCATATGCCCATAGAATATCTCTACAGAAATGGTGGCTCACAGAATTTCTACTTTCCTCGTTCGTGCAGTTGAGTTTTCTGCTGCACCAGAAGTTAAACTAGCTGCCTGAAATCACACGGTGACGGGCAGCTCAGAGGGACTTGAACTCAAGTTTAAGCCCTCTTGCTGGGGCCACCATCCCTCCGTGCTAGGTGCGGTGCACAGCCCACTTCATTAAACTGAGGTGGGAAACCAGAGTTGAAAAATAAGGTAAGCATAATCTGTAGGTAGATCTGCGTCCAACACGAAAGGTGCTGCTGGGTTATACACGGTCAGTGAGAGGTGGAATAGTACAGGATTGTATATACAGCATTTCTGAAGAGGCAGAGGGACTACCTGGGCTACCAACACAGCCCAGCCTGCGGCAGGTCTGTATAATCCCGACAGAAGCAAGGATGTAATTCACCTCTTCCATTATTCAGCATTTCAGTAATTCCCAGAGGGGAACGCAGAGAGCAGGATGTTAACTGCCTGTGTAACGCATGGAGCCGCTGAAATGGGTTTGTCTGATTAAGCTGGAGCCTTTCTAAAAGTTTGGGAGCGAAGCAGCACTGTCTGACCTTCGGAGAGCTCTGCTGAAGCGGTCGAGCTGAGGACACAGTCGGAGAGGGAGAGGAGCTTTGGACTGCCCCCAGGAGAGTCAGCTCCAGGCAAAGGCTCCCTGTGCCTGTGCCTTGGGTGTGCTACCGGCGGTGCCACATCGCTGCCACCAACACACAGCCCTGCCAGCACACCAGCCAACGGCCAGTGCCACCCCAGCAGCAAAATGGTTCCTGACCTCTCCGAAGAGAGCTGGGCAAAGTATCACAGGAAACTTCTACATGAGGTGAAATACTAGCATTAAGCACATTGAGGAACGGTGGAGGTAGTTGCTGGCACAAACCCAAAAAGGACTGTTTGGATGTGTCGTTCCCACTCTTCCTCCGTCCCCACAGTGCGCACAGACAGACACACACAGTATGTACAAACATGCATTAACCTACACAAACAGGCAAACACGTACACCCCCACCACCCCTCTGGGAGATTCTTTTTTACGTATCGGGGGTTTTGGTGGACTGCAGGCGTTCAGCAATTAATTCTCCCGTAATTGAAGCAAAAAAAAGCAGCGGCAGGAGGAGAAAGCTTTAGTCCTAGAGAAGCAGCTAAAGGATCCTGTTGACAAAGCAGTTTTTCCAAAGCCACCACAGAGGGAGACACCGGATATTACACAAGCTTTATCAAATTCAAAAGATACCTTCCTAATTGAAGTACGAGCTACGTTTCCAGCACCAGGACTATGCACCCTGTTACTACTATCAGCGATATCTCCTGTAACATGGTGTTTGGGAATCAAGTGATTCACGCCGATACGGCTACTTTACGCATCTACAGAGCGGAGAATCTCGCCCACCCGAATGCTACAGGTAGGCTGCAACATTGCAGGCTGCTGGGCATCGGGGGGGGGTGTGGGGGGGTGGGAAGCAGCAGAAGAAAAAGGAGTAATTCACACCGGAGGAAATGTGAAACAACCGAGCGCATCTGTTGCAGTTTGATGAGGAAGCTCTCCAAATTACAAGAAAAAAAAAAAGTTCTCCAAAGATCATCAATAAGACCACTGCCTTTTGCTCCGGCACCCGAGGTGTCCCGCAGCAACTCGCAAGCACACGGCTCCGCGGCGACCCGGGAAATCCCACCGACGGCAGGCATCTGTCGCACGGACAGGTTTCAACAAGTAAACAAACGCCGCTCAGCTCGGAATTAGTTTCCAGCTGAACTTTCTCATCATTCCTCCTCGCCAGAGAGGCCAGGACCGTAGGTGACTCTCCCAGTAAAGCCTTTCCATCCGCCTTCCCTCACCCCGAGTGAATAATTCACACTTACCTAATCCGGCTCGATCTGACAGCCGAAAGGGGTCACAGGCCAGCACGGACTGAAAGGTTAGAAACAGATTAGCGAAAACAGTTCCTCCCAATCACATTCTCAGTGCCGACTCCCGGACAATCCCTTCTCCTCCGCCTGCC